GGGAGCCAGGCAGCAGAGGCCACATGCGCACGCCTGCAGGAGCTGGCAGGGACAGCCGGCATGTGCACAGGAGGGGCAAGCTGAAAATCCCGTAACAGACAGACAAGAACAGTGACGACTTAATAGAAAGATTGTCTAATAAGCACAAATCCCTCAGCCTCTCCTCATAGGTCATGTGCTCCAGCCCTCTAATCATTTTGGGGAGCCAGGCAGCAGAGGCCACATGCGCACGCCTGCAGGAGCTGGCAGGGACAGCCGGCATGTGCACAGGAGGGGCAAGCTGAAAATCCCGTAACAGACAGACAAGAACAGTGACGACTTAATAGAAAGATTGTCTAATAAGCACAAATCCCTCAGCCTCTCCTCATAGGTCATGTGCTCCAGCCCTCTAATCATTTTGGTTGCCCTCTGCTGGACTCTTCCCAATACATTCACATCCTTTCTGTAATGGGGGGCCCAGAACTGGACACAATATTCCAGATATGGCCTCACCAGTTCCAAATAAAAGGGAATAATCACTTCTCTAGATCTGCTGGCAATGCTCCTCCTAATGCAGCCTAATATGCCATTACCCTTCTTGGCTACAAGGGCACCCTGTTGACACATATCCAGCTTCTCAGCCACCGCAATCCCCGGGTCTTCTGTTGCTAAACAGAAGGTAGAAACCTAGAGGCACATGACCCTGTGTGCCCCCTTCCATGTCACCTCTACCTAATCTTAGATGGGAGTATGCTGAGGACTATGTTATTTGGAAAAGGGTATGCAGCCTAACAAGTCTCAAAACTACTTCCTTAATATGAAATGGGGAAGAGAGGAGATTGTGGAAACTGAAAAATATGAGGGTTAACATTACATGACTCAACACTTGTATAATGTTAACAGCCGGCACAACATGCCAACTGGAAAATTAATTTGCATAATGGCTGCATAGCATATTAGCAAGCACTAGTTACACACTGCACACCAGGTTATAAAATAGGGACTCACACCATCCCCCAAATAACACAAATCCACATTTGTGTGTGATGCAGCTATACAGCTATAAATCCCTGCAGTGGGGTAAGGTGGTGAACACCTACAAACTGCCCTTGCTAATGGCAGCACTATTTGGGTCTAACCATAAGCGCTCTAGCTGGAAACTCTGTGAATCACCCTGTTGACTTGTGCTAATGTCCGCTCTGCAGTAGATGGAGAGTAACTTTAATTATACCAATTGACCTGATCCTACAACCCTTACCCAGCAGTGCACTCAGTTCCAACAGGATCACTGCCATGAGTAAGTCCTGCAGGATCAAGCCTACTGATTCTCCTCTCACACCAGTGTTACACACCAAGTCCAAGTCCACTGTTTTGACTGGAGTTGCTCTGGATTTTGTGCTGATGCTAGTTGGTTCCAGAATAGGCTCCTCAGGTTTTACCAAGAGATTGCGGTTTGCTGTGTCAAACTTAGGACTTCTCCCTTGATTTGACGATGGGTGCGTGGGCACAGTGGCTCCATCACAGAAGCACAGGTACACTGGCAGCTAGCAATGAACCTGAGGTAGGTACAGGGATATAGCCATAATTCAGAAGGATGCAGGTGGCTTTGTGAACAGCAATCCTGCCGGGCCCCATCATACACAGCACAGCAATCAGTTTCTATGTCTAAGTCTGAAGCTGCTCCACAGAACATGCAATATCACCATTATTGTGTGAAATGAACCACAGACAGTGAACAAAATTCATTTTAATGATTCTGAACAAATTACATACAGCCTGTGAAAGCTGTGTCTTTGTCAGATGCAATTCTTATAGCTCTGATTGAAAAGATACATGCAGGAAAGTGGGCACATTTCAAAATAAGCTACAAATAGCAGCATAATTTATTTTTAATTGCACACATCTAAGTCGTAAACAAAAAGTATGAAAGTATTGCTCTGACCTTAATAATGTGGCGATTTCAAAATAAATAGCTTCATTTAAATTCAAAGGGCTTTATCAGGCTTTTTCATGTACACCAGTGCAAATCAGGAATAACCTGAACCAATGACGTTTAACCAATGTAAAACTGATGGAGGATTAAAATCAGGTTGAGGATTTTTTTTTAAATAGAAAATACTATATTGAAATAATTAGTCAACTCCCTGTGTCAGAAGAGTTGTATATAAAATCGGTGTTTGAGTGTATTGCTGTTGTTAATTATGTGAATTGCAGAGCCGCAGTCATAGACCAGGACCCCATTGTTTTAGGCACTATAAAAAGAACAAAAGCACTGACAGTTGCCTTCAGCGGTTAAGAATAAGAGTTAGAGGCTGCTGTGGACAGATGGGGAACACGCGTTCATGAATGCCAGTAGCTCTTTTTTACAACAGGGTCTGTAATGTTGTTCAGCAAGTTGTTGTTGCACTGCCAAGTCCAGAATGGCTTCCTAGCTGAACAGCTATACAACAGTGCTGTCCCTATTGCTCTAACCAACCAGGGACACACAAGGGCAGGATGGTCACCCCCTTTCAGCTGAGCCACACTATGTGTATCTCTCACCTATTCCAATCTGAAGCTGTGCTGGAGGGATTGCAGACTGCTGCTTCCCCACATCTTGTGGGAGAATTGGCCTAGGATGGCCAACTTCTACCATGTGCTTCATGCTCCTGGGCTTAAAACTCTAGATCCTAAATTTGCATGGCTCAGGCAAAAAGAAAATTGAAATTGTGCAGATTTTGAAGAACTGGGGGCTTTGTAACTATCTGACAAATGCTTTCCAGCATTTCATCTCTGTTTTTGCATTTATAAACAGGACAGGCTAAACATGGCCCTGATTAACCCCACAGCCATCTGTGAAATTACCTGAGGAATTAATTTCTCCCTGCGAGTTTTTCTATGATCTTTAGTCTAGGCTATCTGGAACAAATTTAAAACTCCTCCTTCATGATTTATTCTTCTTGTCAGCAAAAAAAAATCTTCTTCGCTTGTCCATCTGCCAATATAAAAAAGAAGAAAGCATGCATTTTAGAAAAATGGAAATAAATAGTTCCCAAGTCACAATATAGTTGATTATTCTGTGTGTATATATATATATACAGTCTGTGTGTATATATATATACAGTCATTAATACTTGTAAACTAGCCAATGGGTGGAACACACCAACTCCAGATATTTAAAAAAATTTAATGTATTCTTATGGGTATTTAACCATAGACTCATGTTAGATGAAAAAAGATTAGGTCCATCTTATCTATCCAGTCCTGCCCATGTTTTATACAGCAGCTATTAATTCATTGACCACTGAATTTTGTATGTCCAAACCAATATCCACCATTTCCACAGCCTAATACCCAAAACCTCTGTTTTCAGGATATGTGGTGATTTCTCTTCCTTTCTCTTGCCCTGAAATAGGAATAGTGCCTATAGCACAATGATCATTTTTTGGTCCTTCTGATACCTTTTTTTTTATGCTTTTGATATCTAATCACAAGCTAAAGATGTTTATAATTTTCTGTCTTGAGCAGTATCCTTAAACAACCCAAATCATATCCTAAGTGCTGAGAGGTTTAGGACTTTGGAAATCTGCCTGCAGAAAACAGACCTCTTTTGAATGATTCTGAATGGTTGTTAATGGGTTTTAAAAACAAAACCTAACTGTGTTGTACCTTCTGATTTGGTTTTGCTTCTGCTCCCTTCACAAGGTCTAGGGAAAGTTGCTCATGTGTATTATCAATAGAAGAAATTTTCTTTGCAGATAAGCCTTTCTGGAAATTTTCAGGAATTTTTTCATATGTATTTTCAGCACAGTTCTCTGTTCCAGAGGATCTTATGTTCAAAGAAGACAACTCATCATAAGTATCATTGGCTTGTGTTAATGAAGACTTGGAAAGTTTCTCAGCAGCTTGGTCATGAGTAGATGACTTTGGTCGTCCCACAGGAATCTGTTCATAAGTATTGCTCCCACTATCAGAGCCAGAAACAAAAGGCTTACAAACTTTCACCTTTTCAATCTGCCTGTATGTGCTATGTGTCAGTGAATCAGAAAGGCTCTTGTCTGGTTTCCTAAGTCCTTCATTGCTTTGGAGGGAGGCTGCATAGGTTGCAAATACCTGTTCTGAGCTCTGGAACTCCACAGAGGTCCTAGTTTTAATGGGTAACTTGGGAGACAATTGAGGAGGTGCTGACGCAGGAGTATGTAATGTCAACTTTTTTGTGTCTACAGAAGTTGATGGACAAAAGGGCAGGGAATGGGCACTCTGACCCCAAAGAAATGAGGAATGGCTTTTGCCATGCTCAAGCATAATTTCAGAATAAACAATTTCTGGAGGAGATGGCTTTATAAGATCAACTTTTTTGTCATTAAAACATTCAGCTTGCTTAGCCAAAGTATACACTGAGCTGATTTTTTTGATATGAGAATAGTTTGCTAGGTCTGGTTCTCCTGGTTTTTGCTGGGTGTCTCCTTGTGATGAACAGGATGGTTTCTCAGTGATGCTTTTGACAGTGGCAGAGTGGGTCTCCAAACTAAGGCCTCTGTTGTTCAGATGGTGTTTGTTCAGTTCCGCATATACAGTGTTTCCTTGATCATCTAAATCAAGCTTCAGTGTCTCCTGCATAAGCAAGCTGCTTCTATTCGGCAGTGGTGGGGCTATGTCAGAATCCTGATGGAAACAGAAAAGGAGAAGAACATACTTTTCAGGAGCCAGTCACGTATGTAAAATGCAATGCATACACAAAGGCCATGAAATAGATTTAGACTCTAGTTATTCCCAGGCAACTTCACAGAAATCAAAGAACCCTTAAGCATTTTACAAATTCTGTAGCACTTACTTAGATCCCAGTCCCAGACTCTTATTGAAGCCAATGGGGAATTGGGCCTCATTCAGAATAAAGACAATGTTTGAGATTTTCAAAGCCACGTGGGGAATTTAGCTAATAAATGTTCATGTTTCTCTCCAGTATTTCTCTGAAAATATCAACCAGCAAGATGTGGGCACGTCTTTAGAAGTCAGTTCCATGCCCTTAAAAAGCAGCAGCTGTTCAGCATTACTCTCTCTTTTTTGTGGAGGGGGAGGTTATTGGGGCATCAGAGGTGAGCCTGAGGCATAGCCAATAGAATTGTGCACTGTGGAGAATCACGGAACCAAGTGAAGGGGTTACCAGAGCCACACAGTAAAACAGACCTTCACCTCCTTGCTCTGTGCCTTGATGCCTCTGCTTATGCAACACAAAGCTACTCTGGGGTTTTTTATGCTAAATCACATTGCAAATTAATATGTAATGCAGTCCACAGCCTGTTTGTTTGCGGCCTGCTGTATGGTTTGGATTTATGCGGGGCTCCACATACGACCCACTGGCCAAAACAAAAAAGTAGTCAATATAATGGTCTTCTGCTGATATGCGTTTTAGAAGTTGGACTGTCACTGCTCATTAAAAGTGCTGTTTGATGGGTGGAAATTGAGTAAATATTGAATTTTATTAATATCAGCAGAACTGACTTAAATGGGGCCTGTCTGTTGTGTAGTCTTGCCTCAATTTTTGTATTTATGCCCGTCACTGTGAAAAAAGCTATTTGCATATATATTTGCATATATACATGTGCAACCACACTTAAGTTGCAACCCTTGGAGTGTGCTGTGAGTATCATTGTGGCCCCCAGGGCTTCCAAAGTTAAGTAGCCCTGATGTAATATGTCCACAATCACTACTAGATCCTTCTGCTTCACGGCTTTCCTATGACACTTCTGGGGAAAACAGGAGCTATGAGTTTATAGGATGAAATTCATCCCTATATAAAAAGCAAGTACGAGGCCTGGGCACCTGTTAAGTTTTTGAGTGTTCAAGCCTTGTACCTGAGTCTCTGCATAGGGGTGAATTTCACTCTTCATTGGTGGCAAAAATATGATAATCTTTCCTTTGCTTAGTAAGTGAGATCTCTATTGTCAGAAGCTGAAAATGGGCAATGGGGGTGGATCACTTGATAATGGCCTTGCTCTGTTCATTCCCTCTGAAGCTCTGGCATTGGCCATTGTCAGAAGACAGGATAATGGCTAGCTGGACCTTTAGTCCGACCAAGTATGGCCAGTCTTATATTCTTATTTTGACAGAAAATAACTTTGAGGGTTACAATGTTACTGAATCTGTATTTCTGATACTAAAACATCAACAAATTGATACGGGAGTTCTTGGAACATGATCCCAGACAGAAGGTCACCATAGCGACACAAATTAACTCAAGAGACTCACTGCCTCTGCTTCAGACAAGTTCCCAATAGCTGATCATTATTTCTGCATTTTGCATAAAACCTACCTGAGAGTCAAAGTTCTTTCTTTCTCCTGAAAAGTGCTTGTGCTCTCTCTTTGACTTTGGAGGTAGAAAAGTGGCTTCTTTCATTAGGACAGTGCTTTGTGAACTGCCAGACCCTTGTCTTATCATCAAGGGATTGATTTCCCCACTATTTGATTTAATTTGCTTTGAAGAGGCTTGCTGATTCAAAGAGATCTCGTCATATACACTTTTCTCAATTGGCTATGGAAAAAGAATTGGTTAATTACTAAACCACATCATGAATAACTACTATGGTGATAAAATGTCATTCCTGAAAGATCAGTAGCATGAACTCTTCACTTTTTAATAATGATATAAATAAGTTCAGTTAGCAATCCTGAATTATTCATTTTTAAAATAGCTTCCTCCACAAGGGCTGTGTCTAGACTGGCCGCTTGAATTTCCGCAAGAACACTGACGATCTCATGTAAGATTGTCAGTGTTCTTGCGGAAATGCTATGCTGCTCCCGTTCAGGCAAAAGCCCTTTTCCGGAAATGCTTTTGCGCAAAAGGGCCAGTGTAGACAGCTGAAAACTGTTTTGCACAAAAAAGCCCCGATGACGAAAATGGCGATCGGGGCTTTCTTGTGCAAAACTGCGTCTAGATTGGCACGGACGCTTTTCCGCAAAAAGTGCTTTTGTGGAAAAGCGTCCGCGCCAATCTAGATGCTCTTTTCTGCAAATGCTTTTAACGGAAAAACTTTTCCGTTAAAAGCATTTGCGGAAAATCATGCCAGTCTAGACGTAGCCAAGGAGTGTTGGAACATCAGAATTGCTGAACCAGAACAAACCCATGGTACTAGTCTATAGTATATCTTTGACAAACATTGAGACAGGGTGTTTCCAGAATCAAAGACTAAGGAATTGTACACACTAACTCTTATGTTAGTGCAACAGATGCTCCTCGTGGGTGTGAACAAACCACCTCTTTGTGCAATGTAAGGAACACAGACCTAAGCCCTGGTGAGGACAGTGCTATGTCAGTGGGAGAGCTTCTCTCATCAACATAGCTACTGCCTCTCATAGAGGTAGAGTTATACTGACGGGAGAGAATTCACCTCTCGGCACAGAACATCTTCACCAGATGCACTGCAGCAGCACAAGGCACAAAATGAGCTCAAACTAGCTACGGGAGTAAAGGGAAACAAGAAGACTTTTTATAAATACATTAGAAGCAAGAGGAAGACCAAAGACAGGGCAGGCCCACTGGTCAGTAAGGAGGGAGAAACAGTAACAGGAAATTTGGAAATGGCAGAGATGCTTAATGACTTCTTTGTTTCAGTCTTCACCGAGAAATCTGAAGGAATACCTAACATAGCGAATGCTAGTGGGAAAGGGGGAGGTTTAGAAGATAAAATAAAAAAAGAAAAAGTTAAAAATCACTTAGAAAAGTTAGATGCCTGCAAATCACCAGGGCCTGATTAAATGCATCCTAGAATACTCAAGGATCTGACAGAGGAGGTATCTGAGCCATTAGCTATCATCTTTGGAAACTCATGGGAGACAGGAGAGATTCCAGAAGACTGGAAAAGGGCAAATATAGTGCCCATTTATAAAAAGGGCAATAAGAACAACCCAGGAAACTACAGACCAGTTAGTTTAACTTCTCTTCCAGGGAAGATAATAGAGCAAGTAATTAAGGAAATAGTCTGTAAACACTTGGAAGGTGGCAAGGTGATAGGGAACAGCCAGCATAGATTTGTAAAGAATAAATCATGTCAAACCAATCTGATAGCTTTCTTTAATAGGATAACGAGTCTTGTCGATAAGGGAGAAGCGGTGGATGTGGTATACCTAGACTTTAGTAAGGCGTTTGATACAGTCTCGCATGATATTCTTATCAATAAACTAGGCAAATAGAACTTAGATGGGGCTACTATAAGGTGGGTGCATAACTGGCTGGATAACTGTACTCAGAGAGTAGTTATTAATGGTTCACAATCCTGCTGGAAAGATATAACAAGTGGGGTTCCGCAGGGGTCTGTTTTGGGACCGGCTCTGTTCAATATCTTCATCAACTATTTAGATATTGGCATAGAAAGTACGCTTAGTAAGTTTGCCGATGATACCAAGCTGGGAGGGGTTGCGACTGCTCTGGAGGACAGGGTTATAATACAAAATGATCTGGATGATTGGAGAAATGGTCTGAGGTAAGCAGGATGAAGTTTAATAAAGACAAATGTAAAGTGCTCCACTTAGGAAGGAACAATCAGTTTCACACATACAGAATGGGAAGCGACTGTCTAGGAAGGAGTACGGCAGAAAGGGATCTAGGGGTTATAGTGGACCACAAGCTAAATATGAGTCAGCAGTGTGATGCTGTTGCAAAAAAAGCAAACATGATTCTGGGATGCATTAACAGGTGTGTTGTGAGGAAGACACAAGAAGTCATTCATCTGCTCTACACTGCACTGGTTGGGCCTCAGTTGGAGTATTGTGTCCAGTTCTGGGCACCGCATTTCAAGAAAGATGTGGAGAAATTGGAGAGGATCCAGAGAAGAGCAACAAGAATGATTAAAGGTCTAGAGAACATGACCTATGAAGGAAGGCTGAAAGAATTGGGTTTGTTTAGTTTAGAAAAGAGAAGATTGAGGGGGGACATGATAGCAGTTTTCAGGTATCTAAAAGGGTGTCATAAGGAGGAGGGAGCAAACTTGTTCATTTTGGCCTCTGAGGATAGAACAAGAAGCAATGGGCTTAAACTGCAGCAAGGGAGGTTTAGGTTGGACATTAGGAAAAAGTTCCTGTCAGGTTGGTTAAACACTGGAATAAATTGCCCAGGGAAGTTGTGCAATCCCCATCTCTGGAGATATTTAAGAGCAGGTTAGATAAATGTCTATCAGGGATGGTCTAGACAGTATTTGGTCCTGCCATGGGGGCAGGGGACTGGACTCGATGACCTCTCGTGGTCCCTTCCAGTCCTAATATTCTATGATTCTATGAATTCAGTGGTCCTGATGTGGCACATCTAGTGTAGACTGGCCCTCAGATGCACCTGTTTGCACCTGGAGGTATATTTCTTCTTTTTTGTTTTGTGCTGTAGAAATAAGAAATGCAGGTAATCTGAAACTACAGCAAAAAAGGCCAAATTCTGCTTTCAGGTATGGTTAGTGCAAATCTGCAGTAACCTTCTTGAATTCAGTGGAGCTATTATGATCTGCATTAGTGAAAAAGAGAGCAGAATTGGGACTAAAATGTATCCATTCTCCATATCCGACAACAAACTAAGGACTTAGATGGGCAAGAGCCTTTGACAGCAATAAATGATCCTCAACATCCACTAGTGAAAAGAAAAATGAAACAGTCACACAGGTGTTTTTCATACAGTTTTGCCATTTTCATTTTAGTTTGACTTGGTTATTTTTCCTGATGGGGATCTGGTCACTAATACATTGTGCTGCTATTTGCTCTAAAGCAGCAGAGTTTGTATTTTAATATTCTTTTATCAAAAGATTACAGAACACAGCATCCATCAATGTGTGCATCCTACAGCTGCATCAGCCACTTCAGCCCCATTTTCCAATACAAAGGATGATCCTCCCTGTACTCTGCAGTCACACTCATATGCTTACACAACAACAGCTACTTTGTATATCCTTCCCCTTATTAGTAAATAAATCATTACACTTCTGTTCTTTCTCGATCAAACTACTCCTCAAAGAATCAGCAACGTTCAGTGAGTCTTTGGAATTTATTCTGCCCCTGTGTGTTTTTATGGGAGTGCAATAGGGAATGCAGCTATTTCTTGTGGCTTTGCTATAACTGACATAATTAGTAAATGAGCCCAATGGCTTTGTGCCAGATGGTTGTTCTCAATCTGTTGTGTCATTTCTTTGCAGACCAGTATAGCCTCAGATATGTTGATTCATATCCAGTTTCTCATCCATTGTAATCCCCATGTCCTTGTCTGCCAAACTGCTGCTTAGCTAGTCAGTCTCCAGCCTGAGGCAGAATATTGGGATTCTTCTGTCCCAAGTGCAGGATTTTGCAGTTGTTCTTGTTGAACCTCATCAGATTTCTTTTGGCCCAATCCTCCAATTTGTTTAGGTCACTTTGGACTCTATCCCTACCCTCCAGCGTATCTACCTCTCCCCCTAGCTTACTGTCATCTGCAAACTTGCAGAGGGTGCAATCCATCCCCTCATCCAGGTCATTAATACAGTTTTTGAAAAAAAAAAAATGGCCCTAGAACTGATCCTTTGGGCACTGTGCTTGAAACCAAAAACATGACCTGTGAGCAGGTTTGGTGACAGTGTTCACCGGGCCCTGGGCAATGGAAGGGGCTCAGCTCTGTGTCCCTCCCTTCCCAGTAAGGGTCAGGGCCTCACATGGAAGGGGCCATGCAAGGTGGAGGCAACCCTCAGTGCTACCTGGACTGTGCTATGCCTCCCGCAGCTAGCCCTCTGCACTTGCACCACACTGTTTGGGGCTCCAGCAGTGAGTTAAAAAGCCCAGAGCTCCAGCCCATCTGCTCCTCTGGTAGCACCGGTTGCGGACAGGAACCCTGGGCCCTTTTAAATCACTGGGGAATGGGGCAACTGCCTCCTTTTTCACGTCCTTCCCCATCAAAGCCCCGGCCAGTGAGAGAAGACTGAAAAAATTGGCTTCGTTTTCAAGTAGATAAAATATTATCTTACAAGGAGGAGGGAGAAAAATTGTTCTCAGTAACCTCTGACAATCGGACAAGAAGCAATGAGCTTAGACTGCAGCAAATAATATTTAGTTCTGTATTGAGTGCAGGAATCTAGACTAGAAGACCTCTCAAGGTCCCTTTAAATCCTATGAATCTTTGATTTTTAGCTTCAGCCAAAGGCAAAAGTATGTCTGATCTCATTTCATCAGGATCTAAATGAATTCTGAAGAGTTGAGCATACCTGAGTACAAATTGTTGTAAGATTTTCTCCAAAAGGCTCAATTTCTGAAGTCTGGTAATAGCCTATCAGCTCTGCAAGACTTTCATGTGTGCAGTTATCCCCTGATATTACATAATGGCCATTCCGTAGGTGATTAATGATAAAATGCCGACATCGATCTTTTCCTCTGCAATTGAAATACAGTGTTTAGACTTAAATATCAAGCACAACCACATTTATCCAGTGGTCCTTAACTTAATTAAGTTTGTTCACGTTCCCCTTGCTCCCTGACCGTGACGTCCCCATGTGGGGGAGTGAAAGGCATGTCCCAGATGAAAGCAGGCATGATCCCAGCCACCCCTTTCACCTGATAGGTGATTCTGTCTCTTTTCGATAGGGTTCTATGAGAAGCAAGCCCATTCCATGAATATCTCATTTTCCCAGCACAACCAAATCCTGACCTTGCTTTAAGTTATGATAAGAGGAAGCTGCATATCAAAATTGCTGTTCCTAGCTCTTACCATTTAGGAGTTCTTGAATAAACAGAGAAACAGACAAACTCTCTCAAATATATGGTAGACAACAAATTGCTCTGGTTTTGCTCTCATGGTTCAAGAGTGCTAAACCAAAACTTAGGGAGTTTGGAATCAGCTTCCATTTTATCTGAAACACTAAGGGTATGTCTACACTACCACCCTAGTTCGAACTAGGGTGGTAATGTAGGCAACCGGAGTTGCAAATGAAGCCCGGGAAATTCAAATTCCAGGCTTCATTTGCAACTCCGGTTGCCTGCATTACCACCCTAGTTCGAACTAGGGTGGTAATGTAGGCAACCGGAGTTGCAAATGAAGCCCGGGAAATTCAAATTCCAGGCTTCATTTGCAACTCCGGTTGCCTGCATTACCACCCTAGTTCGAACTAGGGTGGTACTGTAGACATACCCTAAAAAGGAAGAGGTATTGAAAGAAAGAGTCTGATTTGTCCTATTATTGCATGGACATCCCTAATTCTGAGGGCTTGACTATCAACCTTAACATTTTTTACTGTTGTTTTTTAATGTAATTTCTAACATTAAAAAATATCAAAAAAGGTCATCATGTGAAATCATATTGATTGCAAACTGGATTCTTAGCAAGACTGTGACCGGTTGGATTAGTAGATGGTTATCCTCTAGGTGGACCAACTCAAGGATGAGAAATATACACTAGGAGTGAATTTCACAGATATTTGCTGACCATGGAGGAAGGGGTGAGATCCAAGAATAATAGGTTCTATTCCAGGCCCTAGAGGAGAACGTGCTATAGTGGACATGGACCTTCTGTCACCGTGCCCCCAGCATGTCTCTGTTCCCCTTTGCTCTTGTTCACTCCAATCCCAGTTCTGGCTCTGTCCCTCTCTGCTCCTATTCACCACCACCACATCCAGTCCTGACTCCTGCCCTCCTCCTATCCAACCCACTGGTTCCTGCCACCCCTTCTACTTTGTTCCTATCCAATATGCCCAATCCTGGCTCCTGCCTATCTCCCACTCTGCTCCTATCCAACCCAGAACATCCATCTGTTTCTCCTTCTTCATACTGCCTGAGCACTACTGAGGAAACACTGTGAGCCCAAGAGATAGTCTCCTTGCTCTCAGATCTGGTGGCACTGTGGCTGCAGGCAGGAAGCAGTGGCTGTTTCAGAGAAAGTCTGGCTGACACACTGAAGCCCTGAAATGAAACATGCTGGCTACGTCTAGACTGGCATGATTTTCCAGAAATGCTTTTAATGGAAAAGTTTTCCGTTAAAAGAATTTTCAGAAAAGAGCATCTAGATTGGCACGGATGCTTTTCCGCAAAAGCACTTTTTGCGGAACAGCGTCTGTGGCCAATCTAGACGCACTTTTGCGCAAAAAAGCCCCGATCGACACTTTTCCGCAAAAGCACTTTTTGCGGAAAAGTGTACGTGCCAATCTAGACTCACTTTTGCGCAAAAAAGCCCCGATCGCCATTTTCGCGATCGGGGCTTTTTTGCGCAAAACAAATCTGAGCTGTCTACACTGGCCCTTTTGCGCAAAAGAGACTTTTGCCTGAACGGGAGCAGCATAGTATTTCCACAAAAAGCATTGATTTCTTACAGTAGGAAGTCAGTGCTTTTGCGGAAATTCAAGCGGCCAGTGTAGACAGCTGGCAAGTTTTTCCAGAAAAGTGGCTGATTTCCTGGAAAAACTGGCCAGTCTAGACATAGCTGCGTAGTGCAGGCAGAATCTTTGAAAAACTTAGTGGTCACATTCCAACAAATCCCTATGGAAAATGTACAAATTGAGATTTTTCAAAGGTTTTTAAATGGTGAAAAGAAGTTCCATAGGAGCTGTTAATGGTACATTTCTAGCACCATATCACAAATCATCTCTGAATTAATCTGATCCCATGCACCTGACCGAAAATCAAATGCCTCAGCAGCAAACTTAGTAAACCATCACCAGTAACCAGCTAGCGAACTAAGTACCAACACCTTTTGGTAAACAACGGTATGAGGTTTAACACCAACCTTTTAGCTGAAAAGCAGCGTGAATTCATGGTGAGTCTATTGAAGAGGAGGTGTTGTCTGAGTCCTCAGACAGGGTGGTGGTATGAGAAAAGGAGAGGAGAAACTCCCATAATGTGTTTGTTGATGCATAAAGTAAGTTTTGCATTTGACCACAGTCTGCTGCTGCACACACAATATCTAACAACTGTGAAAGGCCAGCAGAGATGTTTTGCATATGCCTCTCCCCACAGAATGGCAGATCCTCCCTGATAATTGGGTTTCCTGATCCCTTTCTTCAGTAGAATGATCAGTTTAAAATAGTCCTTACCCCTTCAGTCCTACGGAGGGCCCAGTTTTGAAGTCCATACTCATTTAAAGGAGATGAGAACTCCAAGACTAGACTCTCAGTGAATAAAAAAATCCAAAATCTAAAATCATAACCATTGGCTTTGGCAATATATTTCTTGGTTTCCTGATAAATATAAATATGACACTTCATGCCATTGTGTAGATTATTGGCATCTTTATTCTTTTGAGATATTTAGCTAGGGGAGAAAGTGTAAAAGAGATCCTCATTCCTCCTGCCTCAAGGCATAAGCTAATTGCCAGAGCAGATCAGGATGTACACTCAAAGGTGTATGAGTGCATGAAAGCATGTAAAAAGAAGAGCAAATTACAAGTAGTGGCATTTTCCAAACAAATGGCTGCAGCTTTCTCTTTCCTGTAAAGTTCAGTCTTACCTATATGACAGAATGTAACCAATTGCTCTGTCACTTAATCTGATAAGAAAACAACCAGCATCTTTGTCTTTGAGCAGCTCTTCACTCTGCCTGTAGATTCAGAAAGAGAGTCAATTGCAATGAATGTCAAGTTAGTATATAGTTCTATAAAAGTAGAACACTAACATTCTTAGTGACTCTAAGGAACTTACGATGAGCTGTATTGTCATACTAAAGACATCTGAACAAGTCACGTCAATAACTAGTCAGTTCTTTCCAAATGGAAAAACACTTCTATTGCTACCACTGAACAAAAACATTAATTTTTAATGTTTCCACTCAGAAAAAATAAGATGGATTCAATTTATGTGAATTATCATATACCATCATAATCCATAATCAATTTCTAAAATTGACACCTGGATGACAAGAGAATGTACAATACATTACAAACTGATGCAAAACTTCATTCAGGCAGAGAATGAAGAAAAAGTGTGGAACACCAGCATATAGGTGATGAAACATAGTGACATGATTTAAAACAGTGTTTCTTAAACTTTTTGAGATCACAGAACAACAAACAATAATATTTTTTTATGAGGAAGACCTATGAAAATGTTCTTCAACAAAAAAAAATTGTTGTCAGACAAAAAAAAGACAAAACCAAAGAAGTAACAAAAACAAAGAAGGGGTCGCAGCACACCTGTGAGTTGTTCATAGAACATCAGTTTTGCCCGCAACATAGTTTAAGAAACACTGGTTTAAAAACTCCTTTCTCTGTATATGAATGCCATTCTGCTAAACACGTCTCACTAGAAGAGCACTTATTTTAAAGTAAGCAGAGGTAGTTATTTTAAGTAAGCTTAAACCTGGTCTGAAATAGCAGAGGATTTGTGAAGAAAGAGGCACTTAACAAGCATATTTATTTAATCAACTTTATGCTATAGTATATGTTACAGGCTGTCTTACTTTCTTGTAATGAATCCATAGAACCACTCAGGTAAAGTACCATTCTGTAATAGAAGAGGAGCCTGCGTTTCCATAAACCACTTCAGTGCTAGTTCTTTGAGCATCTCAAAGGATTGGTTTTCAGTTTCTGGGTTAGTTTCCCTTCCTAAGAGGAATTGTTGCTGTTTATTCTCCATGCTGCCTTGACGTTGAACCTAAAGCATTTGAAGGGAGAAAAAGAGAGCAATGCTGTGTATAAACCTCCACTGTTGTCTTTATTATGGGCAATATGAGATCTCATTTGCTTATTGTATACTCTGTCCTGCACTCAATAATCAGATGATAACATATGCTCAATGCTGTCATTGTTGCAAAGGCTATTTGCTGCTTTTCTCTTGAGCAAGAACATAAAGGCACAATCTTCCTCTCTGATCTATATGCTAGAATTTGATCCCAATATTCCATATTTCTCTGTATACTGGAACAAAACTGATGTCAATGCAAGCTGTGGGTATGTAGCAGAGAGCAGAAAATTATTATTTATATTGCAGTAGCACCAATCTGGATACACCACAGGAAAAGTTTTCCCTTACACTTTTACAAAAAAGTGCTTTGTCTTTGAGTGGATTAAGTAATAAATATTGGAACTTCTAAGTCTAAGTCACTGAAGAACTTGCTTTATAACTTACCATTTTAGCCAAACTGTAAAAGAATGTAAACATCTGAACAGTTCCAAACAACTTTTTAAAAATCAATTACATAATATGTACAGTAAAGAAGAGCTAGCAAAAAGCATGATCCAGATTAACAGAGATATTAATCCACCTTTTAGATGAAGACCCTTATTGTTACTCATAGACACACTGGTTGCCTTAAAAACAGCAATTAGTAAAAAATAATCAGGAGAGCAGACCACACTGGTTGAATACTACAAATAAACATTGCTAGTTTAAATTCTAAACATTTCTACTATGTATCTATATTAGCTCATGTGAAGGGGCGGGTTTTGCTGTTCCTTACACAAATACCCTTATCCATTCCATTATGTCTCTTTCATAGTCCCATAGTTTATATAAGCGGGTTAGTGTTTAATCAGGAGTAGTCAATTTTTTTGTGTCAGCCTCTAGATTTCTTGATCCAGGTAAGGTCAAGGTTCAGACTCCAGAGAAACGTTTTTCATGCCACAAGTGCTGGTGCTCAATGAACACATATGATGCTGTGTAATATACCGAGGGCCTATTGCAGAAGTAGTCAATAGGTGGACCACATGGCCAAGTACAGGCTGCCAGAGGCTTTTCATTGGACCATTAAACTCTGCAGGGAGGAACCATGACAGTTAGTGCGGGTGGTGTGGGTAGAGGAGTGACTAGGTGCGTGCAGGCAGGCTTGGGGAGATGGTACCTGGGCAGGCACGTAACACGGAGTGTTTCCCAAACTCTCCCTAAATAGAGCCCTGCCAGGCACAACAGAGGTACTGGGGCTCCAGACTTCAGCTGAAGCTCCAAGCTGAAGCCTCAAGCCTTGGCCCATCTGAGAGGGGCTGAAGTCCTGAGTCCTGGCCTTCCTCCCATGGGACTGAATCCCTGCCAGAGGCACTTTGGGACTCAGCCTGCCCACACACACACACTCTCCCCAAGCCACATGGAGGCTTCAGTCCCAGCACACCTCTGGCAGGCTGTACCGCCAGCCACACGGCATGCGTTGGGAGGGGCTGGAGCCCAGAGCCCTGACATTCTAGGCTATGCCCTGTGTCTTGGTACACCTCCTGCCAGACTGATGTGCATCTGGAAGAGCTGCAGCCCCAAGTTCTGGCATGAGTCTTGGGGGGCTGAAGCCCTGAGTTCTGGTATGCCCGGCAGTCCACTGAAAAGCCTCTGGCAGTCTAGATTTGGAACATGGGCTGCCTATTGACTACCCTGGTTTAGATGTAACCAAATGTCTGAGTCCAACACACCTTTAAGTGGGCTGAAAAGTAGACAGGAGTGCTTAGGCTGTTCTTTCCTGTAACGACCGAGAGCTGGCTACACTGCAGAGTTAGGCTGACATATGGCCCAGGCACCCCACTCCTTCCTCAGTTCAGCAGCAGCAGCAGGGCTTGGGACAATTAACCCTGGCAGCAGGGCTTACAGAGGGAGCTCCTATCACCATCTTTGGGCTGACAGCCTGAGCTCTAAGCCTGGCCAGGCTTATTTTCACAGCAGGAAGCCTACCTGCAGAAAGTCTGAAAGTTTCATGGCTGCAATTATTTCACATTTGTCTGCTGTCATCAGCCTTGAAGCTGGGGGGCTCCAGCTGTGAGGCCTGGGTGAGAGAAGGGAGGGAAGGCTCCAGATGCAAACCACACGCTCCAGAAAATTGAAGAGCTTGATATAGAGCCTGGGTGAGAGAAGGGAGGGAAGGCTCCAGATGCAATCCACACGCTCCAGAAAATTAAAAAGCTTGATATAGGACCATCTATACATGATCTTGAAAAGGCAATTACCTCTTTAGCATCAGGAAAAGCAGGAGGAAAAAATGGAATTACAGCAGAAGAACTGAAACAAGGATGACACATTGTGTGTCAGTAGCTGACCAATGTCTTGCTTGCCCTCTGGAGAGAAGGAGGGATATCACAAGACACGAAGGAGGCCAATGTCATAACACCGTACAAAAACAAAGATCGGAGTGACCGCAGAGGGATTTCTCTCCTTAGGGTGGACAAGGCATTTGCACAGATCATTCTCAAAAGATTGCAAGTTCTGTCTGAAAAGAGAGTCAGTGCTGCTTCCATGCTGGTTATCAAGATGGTCTTCAAACTAAGACAACTGCAAGAGAAGTGTCAAGAACAAGGAAAACGTCTCTGTGGCTATGTCTAGACTACACCACTCTGTCAACAAAGAGGTGCAAATCAAGCACTTCGAAAGGGCAAATGAAGCTGGGATTTAAATATCCCGTGCTTCATTTGAATAAAGATGGCTGCTGCTTTTTTCTAAACGGGGCTTTTTCGAAAAAAATGGCAGTATAAAGGGGATCTTTGAACATACAACCCTTTTTCGAAAGATCCTGTATTCCTCAAAAAATGAGATTTACGGGATCTTTCAAAAAATGGTTGTATTTTCGAAAGATCCCCTCTAGACTGCTGTATTTTTTTTCAAAAAAGCCCCTTTTCGGAAAAAAACCTGCCGCCATCTTTATGCAAATGAAGCACGGGCTATTTCAATCCCGGCTTCATTTGCGCTTTCGAAGTGCTTGATTTGCATCTTTCTGTCGACAGAGAGGTGTAGTCTAGACACAGCCTGTGTGACCTTCATAGATCTCAAAAGCTTTTGACTGGTCAGCAGTAAGGGACGTTTCCAGTTGCTAGGGAGAACTGGGTTGCCCCTCAGTCCTCCTCAGTGTGATTCAGTCCTTCCAAAATGGCAGAAAGACTACAGTCCAGTAAGACAGTGATCAATCTGACAACTATAAAATCTAAAGTGGTGTCAGACAGGGACGTGTTTTGGCACCATCACTCTTTTGTGTATATTCCTCTTTCTGCTGCTTCATCATGCTTTTTTATTTAGCCTTGAAGCTGTATATCTCCATGCAATATCGGATGGAAAACTCTTCAACATTACGGCTACGTCTAGACTGGCCCCTTCTCCAGAAGAGGCATGCAAAGCAGGCAAGTCAGAATAGGGAAATCCGTGGGGGATTTAATCCGGCTTGGGGAAAAGCCGGAAAAGAGCATCTAGACTGGCACAATCCTCCGGAATAAAGCCCTTTTCCGGAGGATCTCTTATTCCTACTTGCAATGCTGCTATATACATCCATGGCGTGTCAACACCTGGAATCTGCATGCAATCCTGGTCTCACCTTCAAAAAAGATATATTAGAACTCGAAAAGGTATAGCAAAGGGTAACAAAAATGTCTGGGGGATGGCACAGCTTCCAGATAAGAAGAGATTTAAAAGATTGAAATTGTTCATCTTAGAAAAGAGATGGCTGAGGAGGGATATGATCAAGGTCTATGGGTATGTCTACACTAGCCCCTTAGTTCAAACTAGGGTGGCTAATGTAGGCATTCGAACTTGCAAATGAAGCCCGGGATTTAAATATCTTGGGCTTCATTTGCATGTTCCCGGGTGGCCACCATTTTTAAATCCCCTTGGTTCGAACTGACTGCCCGTGGCAGTCAGAAGTTAATCTGAACTAAATCCGTAGTTCGGATTAAATGTTACTCCTCGTGGAATGAGGAGTAACAGTTAATCCAAACTAAGGACTTAGTTTGGATTAACTTCTGGTGCCGGCCACTGTTAGAAGACAGGTTACTGGAGTAGATGGACCCCTGGTCTGATCCAGTATGCCCATTCTTATGTAAGAACTGAACATTCTGGTCTTTTTATTGTTCCATTCCCTGGGGTAGATAAAATATTTTAAAAAATCTTTGAGAACAGGACTTCACGTTTTCTTTTTATAAGTGGAAAGAAATAATACTCCCATTTGACTACTGCCTTTTACACTTTGCATGAGGGAACAAATGCTTTTGTTCAATCATTTGCAAACTGTTAAAAATAGGAATGTCAAACTGGTAGATGTTCGTTTTTCACAGAAATGCAAATTATCTGGACTTTGTCTTTAGAGCTAATGTCATTGTCTCTTTCATCATCAGATGCTTTCCTGAAGTTTCAAGTTAATAACTTTCCTGAATTTATAAAAGTGGCCATGGATCTTTGGATGCCAAATTTGAACTATCTGGGAGCTGACTGATTAACAGACCGGAAGACAGACCTCGTAATTAAAAGGCTCTGAAGGACACTGGATTGCATAGAACTAGTCTGCTAATTATAATTCCATTTTTAAGTAGCATTCATAATTGCACTAAATGCTTCACAGACCACATCAAACCAAACAGTTCCTGCCCAAAGTGCCTCCAGTCTGAACTACAGATGTGAAAGTGGCACACAGTACAAAGGGGATGAAGAGATGGACAGAAGAATAAGGGTGCGTCTACACTGCACTGTTTTTCCAGAATAACATTCGTTATTCCGGAAAAACAATACTAGTGTACACACTGCAACTGTGTTTTTTCGACAGAAAGTGTAAGTAACGGAGGGCTTTTTCCGACAGCTGTAAACCTCATTCCACGAGGACTAAGCGCTTTTCCAAAAAAGCTTTTTGGGAAGAGGGTGTGTGTAGATGCTCTACTGCTGCTATATCGAAATAGCTCCTCACCAGGGCCATTCTAACGTTATTC